GCACCCAGCGTGAGTTTAAGCCACTGAGTCCAGGACTCAAACTGTGGTCGAATACATCGGAGTTCAGCAACATAGCCATTACACCAACTAGTGGTCCTCTCCTCAAAAACAATTCTATGAGGTAAGGACTGTTGACATCTCCTATTTACAGATGAGGAAGCTGAGGCCCAGAAAGTTTAAGTAACCCACCCAGACTCCCACAGTTGGTGGTGGTAAGAATCCAAACCCTTGGAATCTGGCTCTAGCATCCACACACTCAGCACACTATACATATGCTCAGATCTTGAAGCCGAAATGGAGAAATAGTCTTCAACTCTTGGTAGCATATGCAAGGAGAAAATGAGGAGGCATATATAGAAAATAACTTAGGGAAAACATAAAAAATAAAAAGTGAACAAAGGGGGCAGGCATGTGGTGTGGTGGATAAGGCAGCTTGACTCGCACATGGCTCACTGCAGTTTGAGGCCCAGATCTAGCAGCTTGCTTTCTCACATTCCCTTTCTGTCTCTCTCTGTTCAACTTTTAAAAAGTAATATAAAAATAATAGCAATTAATAAAATTAGGTAATTTTTTTTAAAGTGGACAAAGGAAATCTATACCTAGATTTCTTTTAGTGAAAACACAGATTTACCAGAAAAAGTTGTTTCCTTGTCCTTCTTATTTAATCAATAAACAATGTAGAAAAATACTAAAACATGCTCAGAATAATAGAAAATTTAGTCCTTTAGGGAACCCAGTATTATAAAGTACATTTCATTCATAACAAAATACCACTTAGCACACATTTTCTTAAGGTGAAGCAAGTTCCTTTTGGGTCAAGAAATCAGCTCGTTTTTCACCTCACCATTCCAAGAAACAATTAGAAACTCTGAACAGAAGCAATAGAATGTTGATACTGAATTATTCATCACTTCATGAATTTACCATGATTCCATCTCAACAAAAGCATAACACAGCACTTTCAAGTTGATGTAACTAAAAAAACAACATTCACTACGGCAGATAACCAGTCTGGCTCCCTGAAGCTGACAGATTCCCATCAACACAACTCCTCAATCTGGCTGCCCTCCCGTGACCTGTGGGGCTGCCTTATACTATGAACATTTCCAATCCAATTCTTTGTGAGTGTTGCTTCTTCCTAACTGTTCCCAGAAAGAAACTACATTATTTAAAAATACATAAAAATATTATTAGGTAGATGTAGTATTAATGTAAAGGTCATATTCAGCCCCAACATGGATAGACTATAACAGAAGCTTATTTCATAAATAACAAGCTCTAAATATTCATGAGTGTAAATACTAGCAGTGTCAAAGTTTTTTAAAAATCATTGTTGTAGGACCAACCAGTGGTATGGTGGTTAAGGCAGCTGGATCCCACATGGCTGACTGCTCTGTTCAAGCCCCATTGAGAAACATGCCAGGTGCCTGTGCATGTATGCCCCAAATCCGGAAACAAGAAATGGAAAAGAAGTGACCAGGGTGTGACCATCGCCCATGGAGGGGAGGATGCTTTCTTTCTAACTTCTCCTCCTCTGTCTCTTTCTGGCAAGCACATGTGCTCTCTAGCAAATTTAAAAAACAAAAAATTGTATACACACACACACACACACACACACACACACACACACACATATATATATATATATATATATAATTTTCTAAAGTTAAAGCATTCTGGGAAAATCACCTAAGTACATTTTTACTTGGAATTTGCTATATCTGTGGTTATTAAGCCTGGTTATGTGAAAAAAATCTATTGTAGTGATTTCTAAAAAATGTTTTGGCTCTCCTCCTCAAAATTTGAATTTAGTAGGATTGGGGTGTGACCTGATCACCTGTATTTTGAAGAGTTGTCATGGTCATTACTTTTGTAAAGCCAGGGTTGAGAACCCTTGTTCTTCGTTCTCTTTAATAAATGGATAATTTAATTGTGAAATATGAAATATTAGAAATACTTTTAGTGAGAGTAGTTCCGGACACCAGGCGGACAGAGGCTGCAGGCCCGACCTCTCCAGACCTTCACACATCCCCACCCTTCCTCCTCCTTGGACCCCAGATTGGTTGGCTGGGACTTTAAGAGGAACTCCCACCCCACCCCAACCCACCCGCAAACCAGATCGTAGCTCGGGCCCCCAGACAGACTGAGGCTGCAGGCCTGACCAACCTGGTCCTGTCACTCATTCTCTGGCCCTCTCCCACTAGCCTTTGGACGCTCTGAATTTTGGTGATTTGAATAGTGCATGGCACACAAAGCGATTTTCTTTTCTCGTTTTGTTTTTCTTTGCTCTTGAGGTGTTCCTTATTAGGTCAGATGGAGGCTCACCACTCCTTAGAAACAGGGAGGACTTTGGGCCATACAGGACTAGTGGCAACAGTTAATAGTAATTGTGAGCAACAGGTAGGCCAACCATAAAAGAAATAATCAATTTTCTAATCCTGTACAACTTTTAACACTCAGAGATACCTTAAATAAGTTAGGAAGCAACATATAGATTACCTGATGACTAGGAACCATCACAGAGGTTCAAGAAATATGAGCAACCAACAAAAGGCCTCTCCCTCAAGGGAAATCATCAAGCCTACATCACCCACAGTCAATACAATGGATGTCATGGACATGTCTGATAAGGAATTCAGAATATTTATAGTGACCAAACTAACTAAAATGGAAGAGAAAAGAGACAAGGAGCTCTAGGAGATGAGGAAGTCCTTTCATGATGTGAAAGAAGAAATGAATACCTTAAACAAGAACGAGATGGAACTTCTGGGATTGAAGCATGTGATACAGGAAATCAAAACCTCCTTGAAAGTATTAAAAGTAGATTAGATCAGGCAGGAGATCAAATCTCTAATGTGGAAGACAAAACATCTGGCCTAGAAAAAGGTATCAAGAAGATTGAGGAAAAAAACAAGAAAAAAAAAAAGAGGGTGATATACGAGGAATTCTGGATACTATCAAGCACCCCAACATCCAGATAATTGGTATCCCAGAAGAGGAAGAAAATAATAAGGGTCTAGATAATTTATTCCATGAAATCCTGGAAGAAAACTTTCCAAACCTAGAAAGGCATTCAGATATCCAGACCCAAGAAGTACATAGGACCCTGAGTAGAATCAACCCAAGAAGATCCTCTCCAAGGCACATCATAGCCAGACTGACAAAAACAACAAAGACAAGACACTAAAGTTGGCAAGAGGGAAACGTCAAGTTACTTACAAAGGTCACCCATCAGGCTAACATCGGATCTCTCGGCGGAAACAATGCAGGCAAGGAAAGAATGGGGAACCATAGTCAAAGTGTTCAGTGAAAAACAATTTCAATCAAGAATACTATACCTGGCAAAATAATCTTTCATATGGGAA